TGGTGATGGGGGTGGCCAGTGCTCTTTGGCCGGCTGCCTTCATCCCCTTCTTTTTTTTTTCTCCAAAAACTTAAAATTGTAAAATGCTTACTTGATTTCAAAATTCAACAAACTTTGAAAATTCATGAATAAATGAGTTTATATAGCTCTCCCATTTAGTCATGCTTGCCATAAAAATCCATTGACTTGTTCCTCAAGGTTATTTAGTTATCATAAAATGAAAATAGAATTAAGGCAAAGATTTTGCAACAATAGAAAAGATGCTCTAGCATAAAATTATTTTCTTGTCATTAAATACTTTCTAGAATATTTACTAAATAAGATTATCATCTTCATCCCTTAATTTTGGGTGATCATAGTAGTTTATTATTTTAGAATATTCTTACATAATAAAATCCATGTCATAAAATAAATTCAAATACTTACTTTAAAATATGATAATAAATATTCTCAAGATACTTATTAAATACTTGTGTAAAATACTAGTATAAATACTTGTTACTCGTATTTATACAATTCAAATACACTTTTTTTTATATCGTATAAATACTCATAAAATACGGGGTATTACAGTGAGATCTAAATTCGATCCATAAAAAACGAATTCAAATGCACATTCGAATCTGCATGTCTACCTTTTTAGGTTCCAGATCTTATAAAACGGATCTAGATCCTCCAAATCTGGACTGAGTTCGGAATCCAATGCCATCTATTTCTCCACTTTTTTCCAATATATCACTTGATAAAATGATAAAATTTCTCTAAGCTCGCCTTCCCCATCACCACCCCTTTCTCTCTTCTCCTTTCACCGCCACCTTATCTCTCCTCACCCTCATCTCCCCTTTTTCTTCCCTCACCCTCACCACCCTTTTTTCTCTCTTACATACATAAAGCTTTCAACAACAACATCTCAATCTCATCACATACACTTGCGAACACTATATAACCACCGCACTCAGTCATTGGTAAAATTTAAATTACAAACTGACACTTTTCGGTCTCACTCATCTTACCATTATAAACAAAATCCAAATCATTATTAAATCCAGACACTTTAGACCAGTTGGCATATTTATGTGATTTCAACAATTATGAAGACTATTAACTAAGGGGGTGCTTGGTATTAGCTAATGAACAAGCTTGATTCCTTGGCCTTTGTTAGGTTGTTGCTTGTAATGATATTTTTGAATATTCCCTTTAATTCCCTTATTATTACCCCCAACTCCTCTACTTTGACTCCCCTCAATCTATGGTATTTGCATTCCCTGCCCTTTTCCTTACAATCACCAATGCACCTTCACACCCACTAACACTAATGCATGTCCACCACTGCACCACTAACTAAATTGACACCACCGCTACTTACACCAAACCACCATCACTTGCACCAGAATCACCCCCACTCTAATCGGCAAGCCAAAACCACCATTACCCATCCAAATATCACCCTTACCCACATCGAATTCACCCCACCACCCACCCAAAACCATCCTAGTTGGATCAGCTTTTGACACCTCTATTTTGATACAATTTTCAAGGTGATTGTCCTTATATATGAAAATTAATTATATTTCCAAATTTTGTTTTGTATTTAAATTAGGCTCGACCTAATCCATCCACCAACTTTCTCGTGTCAACACTAACAAATAAGAGCAACTTTCATGGTTGTAGATAGTGACTTGCTTACAATTTTAAATAGTCTCTAGCTACTAGCTTGACCATTGGAGCAAAAATATGCTATTAGCTTAGCTAAGCAAATTAGCTTGGCACCATTGGAGCAAAAGTATGCAATTAGCTTAGCCAAATAAATTATCTTAGCCAAACAAATTAGCTTTGCCAAGCTAATTTTCTCTAGCTACTAGCTTGATCATTGGCGCAAAAATATGCAATCAGCTTAGCCAAGCTAATTTGCTTGACAAAGATTTTCCAAAAAGAAAATGCTAAATTTCCATTAGTAATTAAGATAAAAATAATAAATTAATAATTTTAATAGTAAGCTAATAGCTAGCCATAGGGGCTCAAACTAGCTACAAAGATAATTAGCCATTAGGGCTCAAATTTTATGTGACGTGAAATTTGACAATTAGCTTATCATATTGGAGTTGCTCTTAAACAACCAAAACGCATTTTCAATAATTAACTAGTGTTTAGCCTGGGCAATGCCCCGGGTCATACGTTGTATATTATTGTTTTATAGTTTTCATGTATTATACTTATATAGATGAATTTGTTAGGCCTTTCGTCCCCAAGAGGTATGAGGTAATAGTTACATTGAATAGTTATTGAATTTATTTTTTGAGTATCTTAATTTTTATAAAAAATTGAACCTTATGCTTTTCACTTATATACTTTTTTTTTTTTAACATATTGATAACGTAGTTGGTAATTGGCTTAGATGGTTAAATAGTCATACTTCTTATAAGATGTTAAACGATTTAATTTGTTTTTTTAAATCTAAATTCCCTTTAACCTTACATTCACAAAAATAAATAATAATAATAATAATAAAAAAATCATCCTATTTAAAAAATTTGATCCAAGGAATTAATTTGATTTGAGTTGGACTGAAATTGATCCGAACATTTAACACCCCTATTATTTTAAGAAAGGAACTAATTAACGGCAGCATATCTAGCTACTATGATCACTATTCAATAATTGTTTATCAATGTTGGTTAATTTGATATGAATTCACCAAACGCGATACAATATAGAATTTGGTAGTTTTTATCCAAATCGATTTGAATTAGATAGAAATTTGTAATTTATTTGAATAGTTTTTGCGCTCCCATATATGTACAGGTACAATTATTGTATACCCTCTCTGTCCTCATTTATGTAACCTATTGCACTTTTGTCAATTAAATATTAGTATAAACTTTGTCCACACTTGTAAATAATCCAATAAAAAATTTGTTGCATTCATTTTAACGTCTGCTTTTAGTTTATTACATTATTATAATTACTATATAGCTAGATTGTGAAGAAACTTACGCTGTAAGAGTCAAATAGGGCAAATGTATGATAGGAGTAATGATCCATACAAGGCACTACTAACAAAGTCCTTAAAATAAAGCTCTATCCAGCTAAACTTATTTAAGTTGATACTTCGTTCTTATATAAACTTATTTAAGAAATTATTAGATCATAACATATTAGATCAAATTTTATCTTTCTGGTTGCTTTTATTTATTGTCGAATATCTTTGTTATCGTAATTTTAAAAATTATGAAAATTTCATATTTCCTTCGTGTTATTTTGTTGACACACTTTTACTTTTGCACTGGTAACAAATTACACTTTGATTCGCTTTTGTGATTATTACCTATGATAAAACATAGTCATGTGAGATTTTATTCGAATCGTCTCGATTACAGTTTATTAATTATTAATATCCGCTTTTTATAATTTTATAAAGTTGTTAATTAGAGATATTAATTGTTAAATTTGTGCGTTGACAAGCGTGATAAAAGTAGCCTGTCAACTTAAAAAACTAAGACAATATTTTTTATTTTATCGGCAGCTTATAAATTAGGAGAAAATACAAGTTTTTCTCATTAATAAACAAAAACTATTTATCACATAGCATTTTTGTAAACAAATTAATAAATTTTTCAATTTTTTTTGAAGGAAAGATCATTTCATTAATAAGAAGCTATACGACATTTACAAAAGAGATAAAAAACGATAAATACAATGAAAATTGAATCAAATAACAATTCTAATTATGTAGAACTACGATCGCGAGTGAGATTTGAAATTGATGAATACCCTCGTCTCTTGAATCGCTGTCCTCTACAGCCTTCTTCTACAAGGGGGCCTTGCGATTTTGATAGTTTTTGAATTGAACAAAACCTGATTCAATTAATTGTAGTCATTGATCTGACAACTGATTCAGCGCCGCACGAACTACCACCAAAAAATTAGAACTTCTAATGACAAAAGAGAAATCATCTACACCGATCAAGACCATCGTAAGGATGGGATCTATTATCATAAGCAATTAAAAAGGGATTTTGGGGCTTACCACTGATCAAGGAACCAGTGGTAGCCCCTACCAGTAATCACAATGGAGATCAAGGAGAGAAGGATGAAGGAGGAAAAAGGGAGAAGGGAGAAGATTGAAGGAAAACCCTAAAAAACTTGAAAAACCCTAGCAAAAAATTAGGAAAAAACAAACTCCCAAGGAGAAAACCCTAGCAAAAAATTAAGAACCATTATCATATTAAACGGCATTAATAACTTTTTCATTAATGTGGGCTCTACAGTTGATGATGATGGATAAAATTGTTGATTTGTTTACGAAAATGTAATGTGATAAACAATAATTGTTTATTTTTTGTTTATCACTAAGAGTAAATGAGGCAAACTCATAAATTATATTCAAATTTAAAAATCAAATCACATCAGAGAATTTTCAATTAGGTTATGTGAAATGACAAAGTATTCAAACACAAACCTAAAAATCATGGATCCACTTCTGAATTTACTCATATTTAAAATTTGAATTACAAACAGACACTCCCCCACAGTCCCACACATCTCAACATCGCAAACCAAATCCAGACAATTTTTTAAACCCCGGAATCTCCGCAAACCTTACAAAAAAACAACGTAACGCATCAATAATTCCCTTATTCATTTCAAAAATCTCTCTTATTATAAATTAATCAAAAAAATCCCTTGAAAAACCTACCTTCATATTACATTCTCTCTCATAAAAAAAACCCAGAAAAAAAATGAAGGCTTCACTAAAATTCAGAGAAGAGCAAAAACCCCTTTTCAAAGCAAAAATACCCCTCAATATTTAAGGATTACCCTTTCAATCATCTCTTTCAGCTGGAGATTCAAAAGAGCTTTCATTAGGTTTAGGAACCTTCTTCGATTCCGGCCCTTCGTTTCGCCTCTCGTATCGTCCAAACGATGCGTTTAACCCTTTCTCTCTCCTCGTTAAAACTGGAATTGGGCATTTTGGGTCTCCAATTGAAGCTCCCATGACTATGACTGCCGAATTCAATTTCGTCGCTAATTCATCATCTTCAAACCCTAGATTTTCCCTCCATTTTAAGCCTCATTTCGGCGATTTCTCGATCAAAAAATCGCATTCTTCTTCTTCGTTATCGTTATCTCCGTTCAATTCGATCAACCGAAACGACACCGTTTTTGAGGCTGAGGATAATTCTTTGGAGATGGTTGAGAAGCCGATTGTAGATGCGGATACAGGGGATTATTTCTCGGTGAAAAATCCAAATTCAGAGAGTAAAATTACCACATTACCCTTGAAATCATCGGTTGAGAGAGCCGTTGATGGGATGGAGTTAGGGGCAAAAACGGTACTTCCAATCAAAAACGGCGCCGTTTTAAAGCTCCGGTGGGGAGTGAAGATACCCGAAGGATTCAAATCTCTGATGAAGAATCCGACGGCTAAGATGTCGCCACGTGGGATCCCGCAATTGGTGCTGAATAAGATTGGGATTGAACACGTGGCAAAGGAGGATAGGAAGGTGGGTCCCAATGAAGTGGTGGGCCTGGGCCCGTATGGTGGCGGTGTTAGTGGTGCTGACCTGGCAGAGACTTGCTTTACTGTGAAACGGCAGCTTGAAACGCTGCGCTCTGAGAATGCGGTGTTAGGGAAGGCGTTGGATGATTTGAAGGCTGAGTTTGGGAATAAAGGGTTTAAGGTTAAGGAAGGAGGAGAGAGAAAATTAAATGAGATTAAGGAAGGTGATGCTGGGGTTGGAAATTAGTTTATAATTCTGTTAATTAGGATTATTTGGGATGTTAATTAGTATTATAGTATATGGTTTAAACTGGGCACCGTGTCGGGCCGGGCCGCCGCGGGCCGTGCCTGGCGGGCCACGGGCTGGTTCGTGCCGTGCCGGCGGGCCCAGGATTTCGTGCCGTGCCGGCCATTTTCACAGGCCAGCCCACGGCACGGCCCTCGTGCCTGGCGGGCTCGTGCCGTGCCGGCCTGCGGGCTGGTGCAGTTTTCAATTTTTTTTTTTTTTTTTTTTTTTTTTTTTTTTTTTTATGACAACATTATAAATTAATAAGTTTATAATGTATATAAGTTATAAAATTATAATTATAAGTTTTATAAGGTTATAATTATAAGTTTATAACTTATAAGTTATTAAGTTATGAATTTTATAATTATAAGTTGAATATTTATGTTTTATAATTTGTATATTCAATATTTATATTTATATATTTACTTTATACTATTACTTTAAAATTTAATGTTTATGATTTATTAGTAATTGGTATAATTTTTTTTTTTTAATATGAATTTACAAATTGTAACAAAACGGGGAAAAAAGGCAAATTGGATTTTGGATGTGAATAATGCGTACTTTATATTATTATTACTTGAGTTGAGAAAATTGTACAATGATAACAATGATAAAAATCATACAATGATGGTATTAAACAAAAATTGGAAAATGATAAAATTGATATTTTTAAAATCGTACAATATACAATAATTGTCTATTCTTCTTCTCCTTCTTCTTGCTCGTCTTCGTCTTCGTCTTCGCCTTCAAGGTCATCGGCTAGTTGCATAGATTGGGAACTAGCCGAACCCGAACCGGAAGCGGAAGTTCCTTCTTCGTTGTCGTTGTGGTCGTAAGAACGGTCTTGTGAGCGATTTTCCGCATCCAACCAATCTTTGAAACACACGCACATTTCTAGTGTTTCGGGTTTTAGACTTGTTCTTCTATCGTCTAAAACCCTTCCGGATGCGCTGAAAGCTCGTTCGGAGGCGACGGAGGAAACTTGGATAGCAAGAATGTCTCGTGCCATTGCCGCCAAAGTTGGATGCTTCGAGCTTTGTTGTTTCCACCATGCAAGGAGGTCGAGGCTGTTTATCTCATCGTCGTCCATGCCTTTGGTGAAGTCGTAACTCAGGTACATCTGCAACTCCGAGACGTCGCTTTGCGTTCTCCTGATTGATGAATCACCTGAAAACCTTGAAATCAAGTTAGTAGCTTGTGAAAATAAATGTTTGGCCTTCTTACTTACGTTTTTTGATGTTTGGGAAGGCCCTGAGCGAGGAACGGTGCCATATTTGGCTTCATAGACTCTATATAAAGCAAAAAACTGATCCTTCACATTAGTCTTATAGTTTTCTACATCATCGTCAAGAAACATGCATTGAAAGTAAATGTCAACTAACATAAATGTGTTTTCATACTTTTGCCTAGGATCTAATATGGAAGCAAAAATATAAATCAAAGGAATCTCACTATAATATTTACGCCACTTTTTTTCCATTGCTGGAAGATACTGATCATAATCATTTTGATGACGATGATCAGCGAAAAGTTGGGCGAGTAAGCATGCATTAGAAAGAAAGTTTTGAGCACAAGGATTGTAAACAGTAGAAAAACAATACGTCATGTTATATAATAACTGTAAAAATTGCATATATCTTTCACAGTTATTCCAATCATCATCATATAAAGCATTTTGTGGAAATTTTTGGTTGTAAAATAATGTTAACGGGCCCTTGTACTCAATTGCCTTTGTTAACATGTCATAGGTGGAATTCCACCTAGTTGGGCAATCGGTTCTAATTTTTATTACCCTTATCTTTTGTTGTTTTAGAAAACTCTTCCATTCTTGGTATCTCATGTTAGAGCTATTAATAGACATAATAGCATCTCTGATTTTGTTGTAGTATGGGCCAATTGCCCGAACTCCATCCTGTACACATAAGTTAAGTACATGGCAAACACATCTAGTATGAAGAGCTTCACCGTCTAATAGTACATCGGTTAAGTTTTGTTTGATAAGATTAACTGTGTATGTCATAGAGGTTGCATTATCAAAAGTCATAGACATCATTTTATCTCGAAGGTTGTATTCGTCTATTGCTTGCATTAAATGGTGAGCAATGTTAATGCCGGTGTGTGGGTATTCCAGCATTTTGAAATGTATTATTCTTTTTTGTAACATCCATTGATCATCTACCCAATGGCAAGTCACACATAAATAGTGATATTTATAACCACTATCCCAAGAATCGGCTGTTAAAGATACTCTACAGTTAAGGTTACTCAATTCGGCTTGTAACCGGACTTTGTACTCTAGGAAATTTTTCATTGCGGCGGAACGAACGGTTTTCCTAGAGATTCTTTTATGTTGGGGTTGTAGTGCTTTGTTAATGTAGGTGTTGAATGCGTCACTTTCCGAGAAAAGAAAAGGTTGTTCGGCGTGTACTATCATTTTTCCTAGTTGATCCCTATCCCTCTCATAGTTGTATGTAAAGCCGTATGGATGGAATTGGGAAATTTTGGGCTGGGTTGGATCACTAGCTGGTTTTTCACAAGCTTTCATGTGTCTAGATAAGTGTCCCGTCCCGTTTTTGGTAACTGCCGTGAATACACTATTACATGTTTTACATTTTGCCCATTGTTCACCATCTTTACTTAGGACAAAATAACGCCATACCTCACTCCTTCGGTTTTTCAAAAGTAGCATCTCAGTTTCGGTTAACCATTCATGATGTGTGTGATGGTTAGTAGTGGGACTAGTGGGAGTGGCAGTAGAAGGGGTAGAACCGGAGGGAATTCGGGTACTTTCTTGGCTACCTTGGCTAGAACAATAGTTTTGTTGATCACCGATATAATTAGGTGGAAATTGGTATGGTGGTAGTGGAAATTGGTTTAGTGGTGGTGCTGGAAATCCCGACGTATTATATGGCTCATAGCCCGGGGGGAAGTAAATGGGGTCATTGGTTTGACTCGTAATTTGGGGGCTCGTTGTATTTGGTGTTTCCCTAGAACTACTACTACGAATAAGTCGGCCTTTCCCCCTAGACCTAGATGATGGGTTGTTCGATGCCATAATTAACAATTAATTTTTTAATAAAAAGTGGTTAACTATAATAATAATAATTAATAACAACAATTTTAACAATAAAAATATCAATAATATTAATTAATAACAACAACTATAACAATAACAATAACAACAAAAATAAATAATAACAACAATTGTAACAATAATAATAATTAATAACAACAATTATAACAACAACAATAACAATTAACAACAATAATAATTAAACAAGATTATTCTAATAATAACAATAAAACAATAATAAATTTAAGATTAGTTTAGATCTTACAACCGTGCTTCAACGCTCCACTAATTACGATTACGAACTTTTTAATTTTTTCCGATATTAGGAAAATAATTAGAAAATTTAAGAGAATAATTAGAGAATTTAAGAAAATAAGGATTATTAGAGATTTAGAGAATATAAGAGATAAGAAGAAGAGATTGTGATTTGGGAATGAAATGGAGGTGAGTATTTATAGAATTTTTGGGGAGCAAATTGGCAAAAAACTAGCCGTTTTTTAGCCGTTTTTTTGGCTTATTAAGGAGATAGAATAAACGGTAACATTACCGTTGGCCCGCGGGCCGGCACGACGGGCCATGCCCGTGCTCGTGCCGGGCCGTGCCTGGGAATTCTCAACCCTGTCCGTGGCACGGGCCGTGGGACGGGAGTTGAACTTCGTGCCGTGCCGTGCTTGAATTCGGGCCGTGCCGGGCTGCGCCGAACGGCGGGCCGTGCCGGGCGGCACGCGGGCCAACCCGACCCGTGCCCAGGTTTAGTTTAAAATGGAATGTATAGTTTTATGTTGGTTCAATGTTTTTGGTTCAAGGGTAGCATGTATTATGCTCTCATTTTCTATTTTATTTTTAATTTAAAGATCGTATTTATTTCCAATAATTCTGTTGTACTATTATTTTTGTAATAAGTTAGTAACACATAAGTACATATGGTTCAATCTCATAACTCAATTTTTAGATAAACATTAAACAAGACTAACATGATGCATCACTCAACTCGACATGACTAAAGCCTTCCTCATCTATAGAACAAAATTTTAGCCTACCTGTTACATATTCTTATGGTTGGTACTTCAGAGTTTAGACCCTTGAAGTCGTCTTCTTCCTCATCTCGTAACAGTTTGAGAAGACTTCTCCTCTTAAGAAGAGGTACCTAATGTTTTCCTCTTTTTCTTTAACTTTATAAAGAAAAATATTTATACTCCATAGGAGCAAATAGCAATGGGCTGACCTATAAGTAGCAAGATACTATGCCATATGCAATCATTCATTTCCTTTTTCTGTTGGACCAAAATACACACACTGACAACCATCTGCCCCAATTGACATGTACTCCATATAATGTACTACGAAATACAGATTACGAAGTAGAAATAAACAATACTCGATTAATGCGTGTATTTTGGTTGTTAAATTTTAGGAAAAATTGGGCTGAGGGCTGGGGACTTGGGCTGGGCCGGTGGGAGGAGGGACGCTGGACGTGGGTGGTGGCGTGGTTGTTGTAGGTTGGGGTTGGTTTTTTTTTTTAAAAAAAATTTATTTTCAACCATTCATGCGGTGACACGTGTTACTTTACTCAAAAAAAAAATAAAAAAATTATCTCTTTAACAGGTTATCGGTCACTTGAAATCATTTAAAGCGAATGACCCCAACGTTCGAATTATTTAAAAATAATCCAAAGTTGAGAATATTTAAGTGAATGCGTGAACGTTGAGATTATTTTTACCAATTTTTCCTAAATTTTAATATTACAAGACCTATAGTCATGTACTCCTGTCTGAAATTTTGTCATATTAAATCTCTTCCTTGTGTACTTCTTTAATCAGAGAAAAAAAAAAAAAAATCATTTCACCAATCAAATTAACTCTGGATCAACCTTCAAACCTAA